AGAACAGCAGCAGATACAGGTGGTTTGTGAACAGGCATCATTTCGGCGCACTACTGCCGCGTGTTCGGAGAAACTGGCAGACTTCTCCAGACACGAATTGCCGAACATGCGGCGGTATTGTGCCGAAATTATGCCGATTCCCAGGTTGCGGCTCATTTGACGAGACCCAGCCAACCGTTCAAATTTTATGAGGCCGAAATTGTCGCAAGAGGTGATCATTGGGTGAGTCCAGAATTACTTGAGTCATGGTTCACGGGCTCTCAATCCATAAACAAGTGCAACGATTTGTCCAATCCATATTCGGTACTGAGACTAAATTTGGCCGAATCAAGTCAACGCTCTGGGAACAGACAGGCCACCGCATCATCCTATGCCAGCACCGCAGGACCAGATGGTCATTGCTGACGTAACAAATCAGCGTACACTCCAAGCATTTATCGATTTTCCCGCACGTTTAAATTTTACAGCAGACTCCTGTACACAAACTACCTGTATCTGCTGCTGGTGTTCTGTGATTATGTCTCTGATGCAGGATCCACGACGGATGTCGAAACGTCAGGCGAATAAACATATTGTCCCAGCGATCGAGTCGTCTTCTACTTTTCAATTACTTCCTAGGACTCGCATGTTCGCTTGTATTGGTCATCACTCGTTAACTGTTAACTTGGTAACTTTCATTGTGTCCACTCCGTTAATTAACTTCTGGGCGGTTATGCCAGCCCTGCACTTTCCCACTTTCTCTCTCTCTCTGCTGCGGTTTGCATTGCCTTTAAAGGTAAACGCACTGACTCCGGGTGTATGTTAAGGGGAGAACTGCGTTCTTCGCTGCTACGCAGAAATAGGCGCAACGGGCTCCCTGCCGTTTGCTACATTGACAAGTGCGGATTTAAGTTTGATCTGTAGTCGCAGAAGTACACCTGTGACTAGCCTGAGAAACGCACATGTGTTGTGGTGCAGTGTGCTTTAGTGTCTTATTTTGTTTCTCCCCAAATCCGAAAAGACAAAGAAGTTTAAGTTGCGGCTGTCTGAAAAAGTAACAAATTAACTAGTATGGAGACCAGTAGCAAGCATTACCGTTCAATCATGTAATCTGAGGCGATAGGGTGATCAGTAGCAGCCAGAACTGTAAGATATTATTTCGTTACCTAGTTCTGATTCTAGTAAACTGTACTAGCTTGTTTGCCAGGCTAGTGAAGATTACAGTACTCCGCAGTAAATTGAAAAATTCGT